AATACTGAGCATATTTTCCCATAGAAACATTGCATCAGCTGTTGGTTAGTGGTTTTGGTGACTATTTGTTGTTGTTTAGTTGTTTCAGTAGTGTCTGACTCTCTGTGACCCTATTTGGGACTTTCTTGGCAAAGATACTGGAGTGGTTTGCCATTTCTTTCTCTAGCTCATTTTACAGATGAGGAAACTGAGGCAAACAAGGTTAAGTGCCTTGGGTCACACATATAGTATCTGAGACCAGATGTGAACTCAGAAAGATGAGTCTTCCTGATTCCAGGCCTGGCATTCTTTCCACTTCTCCATCTAGCTGCCCTTCTATTAATATAGTACTATTAATATTAATAATAGTTAATTAACATAGTACTATAGTATATCACCAGTTAAATAGGCTTTGGCAGGATGGCCTTGGGAGGAGAAAGAAGTAGTTATTTAAACATTATTTAATGTGAGAAGAATCCTAAAGGCCTTGCTAGGTATTAGATTCCGATTAATCATACTATTACCTGATTCTATTACCTATAACTCCATTCTTGAAATTTCTATAGTATAGGAAGACAGGGATAAGAAGGAAAAGAGTACCCTTGTCAAGCATTAAGTTGAAGTGACTAGGGCAAAAGTAAGAGAAAATTCTTCACATGGCTACCAAACTGAGGAAAAAGAGAAAAGTAAAGTATTTAGGAGTTGAACAAATGGCTCTGAGATCTTGTGTTTCTATGTTTATTTAAGTCAGTTCTTGTTTAGCCCACCAGTTGGCCTGGGATCAGCCTTAGGTACAAGAGGCACTTAGCATCAGACAGAGCTCCCTATAAGCTTGACCCTCTAGGCCCAAGTTGAGTTATTATAGTATCCAATACCTTGATCACCTCCAAGAGGAACTTGGAAAGCTCTGGTCAGAATTGAAAATCAGGCCTACATCAGAAGACTTCACGACTAATTTAGCCTTCTTACAGGTTAAGTCAAGCATTAAAATGCCCTTCAGGCTCCCAGTCCCTGGGTTTCCTCTTCTGCCCTGGCTGTCTAGACTATAATGGATTAGGTCAAGGGGAAAACACTAGAACCAGAACTTCCCCTAGAACCAGGAACTATATGGAATCAGATGTGGGAGGTTGTAATCTTACTGATGCTTCCCCAGTTAGGTCTTTCGGTCCCTGATAACCAAGTGAGAGCATAGCTCTTAGGTAAGGATTTCACTGTTCTAAGGGCTGCTATAGCGAAATGTGAGGGCATGCCTAACAGAAAAAGTAGTATAGCTTTGGATTCATTTGACCCCATTCCCAATACCACCATAACATCACTGCCAGTACAGATTTACTCTAAGACTTTCCAGAAGTGGTGCACTTAATATCTGAACAGAGAAAAAAAAATCACCCCACAACAACCTTGTCCATATTACTTCCCTCCAACGTATTTCTTCATTCTGACAATGCAAGCCTTCAAAGGGCCGGTTAAAAGGACCAAACAATATTGCCCCCACTACAATGTTTTTCTTCATCCCCTGGCACATATGGGATTTAGGGGAGGCAGCAGCAAAAACAATAGTCAAGAACCAACTAAAGACGACAGCAACAGCAGCAACAAACTTGTAAGAGATCGGCACAGAGATAAAATAACACACTCTGGAAATGCCAAACTAACCAGATCTTGCCATACCAAAGCACACCTCACTATTTAGTAAAATGTGATGAAAGAGAGAAGCAAGTAGATTTGCTGGCCTAACCAATAGACTAGGAGCTTTAAACAAAGAAAAAAAATCTTTCTCTAAAAGATTTTTGTGTGTAAGTAGAGGTATGCCTTGTTTTGAAAATGTCTGATAGGTAAACATCTAAACTCGAAACATAAATGAATTAGGAGATGATTATCCCCTAGTAATGTTTCCTAAGTCATTTAAGAAATTATTTTGCAAAAAAAAATGATTATCAGAGTGTAAATGAGCTATTTCTATAAAACAAATTTAGGTGAGATTTTTGTTTAAATGGCAATGGGTAATATGAATGTATTATGGTGGTCTACACTTTAAACAGATTTTGAAATAAATCACAAAATTATAGTTTACCTTATGGAAACTGCACTGCATTGTGAATTAAACTAGAGTGATCCAGCAGGGGGAAAAGAAATCAGAAGGCTTGGATTCAGATTGCAATGTTTTATTTACTGCCTATATCATCTTGTGCCTCCCTAGACTTCAGTTTTCTCACCTGTAAAATTAATTGCTACATGATAAGGTTCCTTTCAGCTCTAAATCTTATGATCACAACTGGATGAGATAGCAAAGTAGATTTACTCCCTCTGCAGGCAATGAATGAAAAATGCAAACTCACTAGTACAAAGGTCCAATTTTCAATTTGATATTCATCAGATTTGAAAGGCAAAACAATTTACTTGTAATTAGCCAAAAGCCATCTTCTTTTCACTGTTCCTCAGTTCATCCAACAAAAGATAGAAACCTAAGATAAATCCAATTCACATGCCATATATTAAATACATATTTATTGCTGCTTCTGCTAAATGTTAGAAACTAATGTCCTAAACTTACAGTTTCAAATGAAATCTGAAATTTGATGCCACAAGAATACAAAAAAAATTCCCACCCCAATTGCCTGCAAGTGAGAAACTACTGTTAGAAAAGGCAGAGGCTTAAAATTTTGGAAATCCAAAAAGAGATTTATAATTGTTAAAATACAATGTTGTAGGAAACAGAAAACATTTTCAAGTTATTAATCTCAAATCTAATGGTTGTCATTTAGTTTAATCCGAACCCACAGATTCAGAATGTGTTGCTTCATTCTTCTTATTACTATTACTAATATTATCCAAATCAGGAGATGGAAGAAGGTTCTTGTTTAAATTACAATGCTTCCAAGGGCAAAGAATAATGAAACAGGCACACCAGAACCTAATGAGGGTGAGTTCATTTTGACAAATTGCTTAATTCACAAGCTATCAATTCAATCGCATTCTCATTATTGTCAGGACTGGCCAACCTGTATTTCCAAATGTAATGCTTCAGTTATTCCCATTTAAAACCTTTTTTGTTCTTTGAGTCTTCTTATCCTACTAAGTCAATCTGTTACTAAAACCACTGGCCTGGACCCCAAGCACCTTGAGAACAAGGATGGTTTCATTTTTGTCTTTGTATGCCTGGAGCCCAGCACAGTGCTTTGGACATGCTAATGGTTTGTAGCATTTAATTGAATCTTTATGGTTTGTGTTAACAATACAATTCCCAGTGCGATGTCCTACCATCTGGTCCTTAGTGCCTTTAGCACTAAGTCCTCCATAGAGTGGATATTGGACAAATGTGAGCTGATTGATATTGACCTTACACCATCTACAAGCACATTTCAAGAACATGCCCCCAAATATACATCAAAAGGTGGTACCATCACTGAAATCCCATGAGACTCTGCCTAGTTCTGGCCAGTTCTTTGCACAGGTGTGTGATTAATATAATGTTCCTGTAAGAAACAGCCAAGGCCTGGGGCTCTGATGATTGACAGTGCATGTCAATTTAATATAATTTGTTAAGGACTGAATAGGTTCATGCGAAGTGGATTGTGCCAGGAATCATGGATATAAAGATGATACAAATTGATCATTTATTAAATGCCTATTATGAGTATGGGAAGATAGGAAGACAGAGGCAAAGTAACCATTGCTCTCAAGGAACTGTTGTTCTATCAGTGGAAATGTGCACACACATAAGATAAGTAAACACAAGGTAATGATGGGAGTGAGTGGATCCGAGGGAGGGAAATCGGGACAGGCCTCATCTAGGAAGTGGCTGCCTTCGAGGAGCTTACAGGCTGGAGAGAAGATAACAAATACACAAAAAGCTATTAGAAGTCTGATGCTGTAAGTGTATATAGAAGAAAGGTAAGACAATGGGGGTCACTTCTAGCTGGGGGAGGAGAGATGAGAATCAGAGAAAGCTACATAGAAGAGATGACATGAGCTGGGAAAATTTTTTTTTAATAAGCTTTAGTTTAAAGGGCGTCCTGCTAGACCAGGAAGAAAGCCTACACCAATGCACAAAAGGGGAGAAAGCTAGGCAACATCAGGAAATAACCAGTGGTCCAGTTCTGTGGGACCAGAGATTACAGAAATAGGATTAGTGAGAAACAAGTTTGGAAAGGTAAATGGAATCAGATTGTCACTAGCCTTGAATGCTAAAATAAGGTATTTGTACTCAATCCTGTAAATAAAGTAACAAAGGCATGTGACAGTGCTAAGGATGAAAAGAAGAATCCTGGGTTTTGTTTTTTAAACGACCAAAGAGCATTGTATATCACCACTACTGCCACCAGAAAAACCAGCTTGCCCCTCTAAGAAAAGCAGAAATTTTCTCCCTTGCAGAAATCTCATTATTCCCTCTCTGAAAGGTTTCCTGGCTAAATCCTCCTTGATAAGAGATAAAGAAGGGAATAATTTTATCATAGAAAGGTGGGCAAAGGGATCACTAACCAAATCTCCTCCGAAGCTGGGATAAGTTCTCTTATTTGCAGAGAGATGATGAGATGGAGAAAAAGGATGCTAAGGCAGTAAGTAGGGGCAAGAAGTAACGGGCTTCGCCAGGTTCCCTCCGCAGCGCTTACAGGTTTAACCCCTGGCTGGGGACTAATGCAAATCCTGCACCAGGCACCGGAATGCCTAAGGGATGAGGGGCGCTCGACGAATGTCAGAGGAAAGGACACCGAATCTTAGCCCTGGAAGGGGCCTCGGCAGCTACCTAGTCCAGCCCCAGACCCGAAAATAGTAATCTCCACCATGATCTATGCGAGGAAAGCAAACCTCCTCCCAGGTTGGAGGGTACATTTCCGGGCTAGAATTTAACTCATCGCCTTCCAAGCTCCTTTTTTCCCTACCAGTAAGGCAAAAGCGCGCTTGGTTTTGCAGGTAGCGTAAGGTGAACGGCACTTCGGACCAGGTGCAGATTCCGGGGAAGGAGGGAGGGGGAAAGGAGGCCGGCGTCGGTCGGGGGGTAAGGGGGCGTGGGGAGAGTGCGTACTGGGGTTGCGCTGCGTGGCGCCGAGCGCTAGCTGCTCCGCCCGCCTCTGCCCGCTGCTTGGCCGCTTCTCTGCACCTTTAGAATCCAGGTCTCCCCCAAACCCGGGGCTCTCACTCGCCTGTTTGCTGCTTCTGCTGTTGCTGCCGCCGCCGCCGCCGCCGCCGCCGCCACTACTGCTGCCGCCTGGACCATGACCAGCTGCTTGCAGCTGCAGAACTGCCGGGCCCTGCGCTTGGCCTGGCCGCCTCCAGGCGCCAATCCCCGCCCCCTCTACCCTCTTGCTCTCCCGCCTCTGCCTGCGGCGGGGCCTGGTCCCCACCCGCTCCGAGGCTACAGCGGGGGTTCGGCCTGGCTCCCAGGGGCTCTGCTGCGCACCGACTCCTTTGTGGGGGGCCGCTGGCTGCCTGCCGCCGCGGGCACCTTCCCAGTGCAAGACCCGGCTAGCGGTGCCCAGCTAGGACGAGTGGCCGACTGCGGGGCTGCCGAGGCCCGGGGGGCCGTGAACGCTGCCCACCAGGCGTTCTGCAGCTGGAAGGGGGTCTCCGCCAAGGTGAGAGCGCCTTGGGGAGAAGGAGAAAGTGGGTCCTGACAGAGTAAGCAACTCTCCTCCCCCAGAAAAGGGGACTTGGCCAAGGTCAACCCTACCCCCATCAGTGAGTCTTGGCACTAGAATTAGAGCATCTAGGGCTAGTGGCAAAAGAGGGAAAGGGAAAGATAATCAGTGATTGGGCGCAGGTAACCTCTGAACTGACAGTAATCTCCTTCTCCTCCGAGAAGAATTAGAGAATCAGTCTCCCAGGAACCTCTACCACGCTTGAAGGAAGAGGATTCTTTCTTAAAGATGTTCGTTTGTGTGACTTTTGCTGCTGCTGTCATTATTAGCACATTTTGGTATCGATTTATTAAATTTTGCCTGGGATGTGTATCTTGTCTCTTTGTTGTAGTGAAAGAGCAAATGATTGGATTCGAGCCCAGGTCTGCCACTATAACAAGTGTGTAATTGTGGGCAAGTCATTTTTCTAAAAGGCTGAGTTTCTGTTAAGGAAAAACAGATAACCTTAGCTTCCAGGAGAGTCAGAGCCATTCTGAAACTGACCTAAGAGAATCTTTCCTCTGGACTAGGAGTTTATTTATATCAATATTTAATTGACAATGAACTCTAAAACCTTGACTTGAGGTTAAGATCTTCCTCCTTTTTTAGACGTGAATTCAGAGGTCATCTACATCCAGTCACTGATTACCTTTCCCTGTTTGTCAATAACCCTAAATGCCCTAGATCTAGTACCAACTCTCCCTTTTCTTTCTCTACTCTACATACATCGTTTTCATGAGATTTATTCACAAGGGAGAAAGAAAATAAAATCAGAATGTACCTATAGGGTCAAGGAATTCAGAAATTCAAGGAAAACAATGCGGACTAAGTGGGACATGCACATAGCCTTCATATTGAGGTGTATATTCATTTCAAAAAGAGAATGCCGTTTTCCCATTCATATTCACACTGAATTGGTATCGACCCAGCCTGTCTTTCTGGACAGACCTCATTTGTCCCTGCTACAGTCCCGGACTCAGCCAATTAAGAAGCCTCCCCAGTAGATAATGGATTTTTTTACATTCTAAGCAGCCATTTCTAGATAATCACCAAGTCAGTAACTGCGCCACTTCCTTAACAAGGGGAAGAAGGAAAAAGGATGTCTCATGAGGTAGTATTACAGATTTTCCCATTGTCTAGAAAAAGGATAATTCAACCTGATGCTCACCTAACCCCAAAAGTTCATGAAAGACACTGCTTTAAAAATTTTTTTCTTTATGTGCAGAATAGAGATGATAATCGTTGTACTTCTTTATCTTACAAGGTTATTACAAGGAAAATATTTTTAAGTGACTAGTATGTGCCAACAGTATGCTAGACACTGGGTTTACAAAGACTAACATTAACTCCTTGTCTGCAAGAAGCTTACATTCTACTGGGGGTGGGGTGGGGAGAGTGTGTTTATAAAATGGTAAAAGATAAGTAAGAATAAGAGAAATTGAAGAGGGAGAGAGCACGAAAAATTCAGGGAATCAGGAAAAGCTTTTCGCAGAAGGCATCATCTAGACCGAGGTGAGGTAGTAGTGAGTTCCAGGCAGTGTTCACAAGCCCAGAGACAAGAAATCAGATATGTGTGATGAATATCTAGTCAACCCATTTGGCTGGAATGTATAGAGCATGAAGGAGAGTAATATATAATAGGCCTGAAAAGGTAGTAAGCAGTCAAATTGTAGACTTAATTGGTGTCGAACTCAGCAGAAACAGATCTCTTAAGGCCACATACTGACTTTGTTGTTGTTTGGTCATTTTCAGTCATGTCTGACTCTTTGTGACCCTTTTTGGGGGTTTTCTTGGTAAAGCTACTGGAGTGGTTTGCCATTTCCTTCTCTAGCTCATTTTACAGATGAGGAAACTGAGGCAAACAGGGTTAAGTGATTTATTTCCTCAGGGTCACACAGTTAGGAAGTATCTGAGCTCAAGTCTTCACGACTCCAGGCCCAGAGCTCTATACACTGCACAATTTAGCACAAATTAACCTAATCTGTGTCTTATTTATTTTGGTAAGCATTTTGCAGTTATATTTTAATCTGGTTCTGGGTGCACTGAGGAGTTTTGCAGGCAGGAACCTGGTAGGCTGGTGTTTGACATCTGTATTGTAGAGGACTTTAAATGCCAGTCTGAAGATTTTGTATTTTATCATAGAAACAAGAAGGAACTATCAAAGATTTTTGAGTGAAAGAGTGATGTGATCAATCTGTGTTTTTTTGAATATCAGTTTGGCATCTGTGTGAAGGATGGATTAGAGAAGGCTGAGATCCTAGAGATCATTTGTTGTTTGTCCTTCATTTCAAAGAAGACCAATAGTATTTTGCAGGAGATCAGGCAAGAGTGACTTTGTGAGTGGAAATAAGGGAACGTATGAAAGGATGATGTGGTACAAGAATTCTTAATTTAGGGTCCAAAAAATTGGTTTTTTAATATTTTGGTAACTGTATTTCAATATTATTCCTTTGTGAGCCTTTATTTTATGCATTTAAAAACATTATTCTGAGAAGGGATCTATGGACTTTACCAGACTGCCAAAGGGGGCCATGACCCAAAAAAGGCAGAGTCCCAGTTGTAGAGGTGGAATTGAAAATGATCAGATAAAAGAAATGGATGTATCAGTGATAACACCAAGATTCTCAAACTGGGTGGCTAAAAGGATGGCATTATCTTTCAGAGAAATAGGAAAATTTGGAGGAGGCATAGGTTTGGAGGAAAATATCATGAGTTCCTTTTTTGGACATATGAATTTTTAAGATGCCTGTGGGACATCCAGATGGAGATATCTAACCTGCAGTTGGTAACCCATGACTGGAGTTCAGGAGAAAGATTAGAGCTGGATGTATAGATTTAGGATTCATTTGCATAGATTGAATTGCATAATTAGATCCATGGGACTTGATGAGATTACTGAGTAAGATTCTGTAAAGAGAGAAGGGACAAAATTCCTACACTTAATGGATGAGAGAAGAGCAATGATCCAAGAGAAGGGCGATGATCCCTAAAGAACAACACAAAGGGAAGGAACAGAATCAAAAGGGGAAAGTGTCATGGAAACCAGAGGAGAGAATATGTAGGAAAAGAGGGTGGTTGACATTGTTAGAATGGGGACTGAGAAAAGACCTCTGGATTTAATAGTTAAGAGATTATTGGTAACTTTTGAGAGCAGTTTTGGTGGAGTGCTGGGACTAGAAGCCAGATTCTCAAAGAATTTAAGAAGTGAATGAGAAGAGAGGAAACAAAGGCAGTAATATAGACTCTCCTTCTAAAAGAGGAGACTGGGAGATAAATAGCTTGAGTGTGTTGAAAAATCAAATAAAGGATTTTGGTTGCTTGTTTTGTTTTTAGAGATGGGAGAGAACTGGATATACTTGTGGGCAGCAGGAAAGGAGCTAGTAGATAAGGAGAAATGGAAAATGGAAGGTTTTAAGAAAGGGAATGATCAAAGGGGGAAAGTTTCTGGAGAGGATGGGAAGGAATGAATGAAGAGTACAAGTACAGGGATGGGCTTTGGTAAGGAGAAAGAACCACATCTTTATTAGGCAGCTGAGCAAAGGAGATGAGGGAGTAAAGTAGAGTAAAAGAAGGAACTTGCAATGGATGCTAGGAGGCAAGATTGGCTACTGAGAGGAAGGTGAGAGGAGGGGGTATAGGAGGTTTGAGGAGAGTTGAGAAGGTTTGCAATAGCCACTATGAGGAATATAGTTGACTATCGAGAATGGAATAAAAGGACAGCGAGGGTCAATTTAATGAGATAACATACATTTAAGGTGAACCCAGTCAGCATGGTTATGTGATTTTTACCAGAATCACAAGAGTAGGAATGAAGAAGATGGCGGATCAGGGCAGCCCCAAGTTGAAATTTAACAAGGCAAAAGAACAAGGGGAGAATCTCAGGTGGAGTATTTAACAAAACGTGATTTACAGAAAGCTAAGGATTGAATCTGTGGGACTTAAATCTCAAGAAGAGAGGATGGTGTACAGTTGAACTGGTCAAGACTGAAGGGAGGAAAATGAAGCCAGAACAGGGGTGATAGTCTGGGGATACTGTTTGTCCTTCATTCTCGAAGAGGACCATGACATGCAAGTGAATTGGATTTAAGTGAGGGAGGGTTGTGCAAAGTCACCAGCCTCACTTTCTTCTCCAGAGCTATCTGTGTCCAGTGGTGAGATACATCAGGACAACTAGAGATGGGTCCTCTATACCCTGGGAAATAGGGAAGGAAGGAGGGAACAAGAATTTATTAAACACCTATATGCCAGGCACTTTGCTAACTGCTTTACAGAAATCTCACTTGATCCTTACAACTACCTTTTGAGGTAGGTGACTAGACATTATTGTAAGGATGAAGCATACATTTAGGAGGAGTGATACTGGGGAGGAAATGGGAGAATAGCAGATGGTATACAGAGTAGAGAATATAAATTGCGTTTTATGGAAGTAGAACCCTTATGGGTGATGGTGAGATACCATCCTTCTGTGTGGCTGAGGTAAAATGACCGTGTGGGTCATAAAAATTGAGGAATGTGATGAATTGGGAAAATGAGGCGGAAGAGTGGGGGTGGAGATAAAACAAAGAGGCATCATATGCATATTAAATCCTCTGGGAATGAGGTCAGAGATTGGGGTGGGGAGGAAAACTATAAACTCCTTGAGAAAGGAAGAAGAATGACATAAGGAACAGCAGATGATTATGACCAATAGCTGTTTAGGGTTATATAGATGGATGGAGTAAATGAGTGATGGTGACAAAGGGACAGTCTAGAAGCTCAAGTAAGGTGCAGGAAGCACATCTCTTTGTCCTATCACAGAATTTGAGAGAAGAAACATCTAGTATTAGAGAGATTTTTAAGAGATAAAGAATCTTTTGGAGAAAGCCAGGTTTTCATTAGCTCAAGAAGGTGGAAAATAAAGTAGAATGAGTGGAGAGTAAAGTGCTTGAATGAAAGGCAGTTTATTAAAAACAGCAGCA